CCCATCGTTTAATACAAGATCGCGTTACGTGGCTCAACTCAGCATTTCAAATTTATCAATTCTAGTTAAGCATTTCCCAGCTCTACTTGTTTCCCAACAAAGTCCCATTGTCTTTTATGATATTTGATCGATCAGTCTATTATCTATAATTCTTCCACCGATTATTTATCATAAGTTTCTCTTTACATTCATAAATGGCCCTTTACTTTAACTTTTCTTCTGATTTAAGAATTAGAAAAGCACAAAATGTGAATTTGACCAGTGACGGAAAAAGTTTCAGTTCAGTGACACTTTGATAGAGCAATTGTGGAAGTGACATTGCAAAGTTTATTCCATTCCCATATTATTAATAATATCTTACAATTACTTGACATAATATCAAGAAAATGTATTACATCACTGTCTCATGAAAAGTTCTTATGAATTTCTTGTCAGACTTTTTTGATTTTAACACATGAAAATGATATCAGAATTATTGAATCCTTTTTAATTTGTCTAATGTTATAGCACGAAAAGTTTTGCTTATCTTTCATGCATATTTTTTTGTATATTTCTAAAGTTCAAATTCTTTTTTGGCTTTAGTTCAAAATATTTTCAGTTGGAATATCAAAAGGAAAGGAAGAAACAGTACAGTGATAAGTGTTTACTTAAAACTTGAACAGTTTTAGAGATAATACTAGGATATATTAGCATATCGTCAAATTTTGCATTTCTCTCTTTTATGAATCATTTTGCTTTTTCATTTCTTCATCATCAATTATTTCACTACAATACTTTCCTTATCATTAGCTTTTAATTTTCCATTGCCTGTTGAATTCGGAAAGACAAAAAAAAAGAAAATCTATTTCTCAGAATTTCCTTTCTTCTTTTTTTAACTAATAATTCTGTAAAATTTCAAAATGAGAAATTAGCTTATTTATCAGTCGGCTACATTTATTGATTATATTAGCGTGAATCACACTTGTAAGCAATAAATAAAATATGATCCGATCAATTTCCCACCAATAATTTGAAGCATATGTTGCTTATTTCCAGTTTTCATACTTATATTTTTCAATAGCTAACAGCCAATTGTCCATTATTTGAACCAAATGTTTCTAACGTTTTGAATAAATATGACTTATGTCATTTGTTAGCATACAATCAAAACTTTGAAATTATCATCATCTGAATGAAAATGAAGAACGATTGACGACATATTTGTTGAAGAGATACTTGTTATTTTGTCAATCCAAGTACTTTCCCTTTAGGATCCGAGAATTTCATCGAACAATTGAAAAAGACCGCTTTTTTATCATCTAAAATGAAAGATTTACCTTAGCATTTCAATCGATTATTTTTTAATGACCATAGTTGTAATTTGTTGATAAATCCTTTAAACCAAATGATACCATTTGTAAATTTACATACGATAACATTTAAAAAGCATGATAACTATCGCTCTTTAACAAGTGTATGGTTCATTGCATAAATGTTTAATTTAACAATTAGAGAAAACAAAATAAATTATTGAATGAAACATCACTGATTAATAAACAAATCATTTGAAATCGAATGTAATGAGATTACTGATACGATTGAATCCACTCCCAAAAAAAAAAATTTAACAAGTGATTTTTGAATTAAACAATAAATTTTCAGGTTGCATAATTTGTAATGACAGTTTGCAATAAAAACTAAAAATTAATGAAGCAATATTAAAAGTTGCCAAAGACGATATGAGAGAAGTCAACGGTGATATTCTGCTGAAAGGTGTAGGTGATATTTCGCCAGGACGGTGTCAAGTCAGTGGCTTTGTCATCCAAATACCCGAGAGCAGAGCTTACAGTAACGGTTACTTCATTTTTTCCAATCATTATATGGTTTCGTGGGTCGAAGTACCTGTGCCGTACTCCAGTTTCATTCGGAAACTTTAACCAAACTGAATTCATAAGAAAAGCAGGCTTTACTCAAGTCGCCAACAGCGCCAAAGCCAAAAAAATTTATTTGGTGGTATGCAGCAGCTGTCAAAAGCAATAATTGAAGAGGAAGGAGTGGAACAAGTTTCGAATATAGGAAGGAGATCAAAGAAAAATTGTTGAAATATTTTGACAAAAAAAAGATCGTACCCGAAAGCATGGAAAAGAAGTTTGGATGTCTACGAAATGTACTCGTCGGAAAAGAGTAGTCGGTTCATCTAAGTGATTCTAGCGCTCTCATTTCTTTTAAATTTTGTTCATAAAGTATTGTTAGAAATATATTATCATCATACTTTGAGACTTTCAATTTATCAAACGATTGAAAAAGATCACACAGCAATGTAAGAGCAATGAGAGCTTTAGAATCATTGGAATCCATTCTTAAATTATCACTCATTATTAAATTACCACTAAAAAAATGTTTAAAAAAAAACTGTAATGAACATTCATTCGTCAGCTTAATAATTTGTTACTTTCAGCACTTTGTACTAAATTTCAAATTATATGTACTAAGTCAATAAAAAAACATTTCAGTCAGTAATATATTATAAAGGAAATGAATTGAAATTTTTAGAGGGTAAAGTTTAAAAAATATTTCATCTAATCAAGTTTCAGATCGAGAAAAGGAAGGAATGAAATGCCTATGGGCATGTTTTGAAATAAAAAAGTAACCTTTTGTTTTTGTTTCACAATTCAGATTTTACTCAATATTTTACAAATTTCACTAAATTTAATGCAAATAAGATGAAATTTTCTTTTCCTATTGTTAACATACAATGTTTTTCTTTCCAAATTCTTATTAAACAAAATGTGATAAGATTACCCGAACCAATGTAATAAGTACTCAACTTTTCTTGTTCAAATCACTATTTGTAGCAGAGCTTCCGTAAGAATCGGGTAGTCTAAGTGATTTTAACTGCTTCGATAACATTTCAGTAGTAAAATTACTATCACGTGATCGAGAATCCTTACGCCGTCGATTTGTTGCTAAATTTTCTATTCGTTTCCATTCCTTCTCATATAATTTATGAAGATTTTGCGAATCACAGGCATACAATTTCTTTTCTTCTTCGAACTTTCGCAACGCTGCAATTAATAATAACCATAAAATCGTTAAATTAACTGGTTACTAATTAACAAATTTGGAATTTTAATGTAATCAAACAACTTAATGAACATTAACGGTAGACTGCATGATTATACAAGAAAAAAAATTAAAAGCAAAAAACACAGATGCAAATTATTTTGTTGAAACTATTGCCGAATTAAAATTCGCTAATTAATCAATCAGTTAAGTAATCAAATTAACCAACTTTTGAGTTTTTTCGCGGCTTCTTTGCTGGACTCAATATCTGCGCAGCTTACAGCTTCCACTGCTGCCATACACGTCGATGGTTCACTTATATTTTCGATTAATGCCATTACCTGTTTAACAAATGTAATTATAATGCAAAATAAGCATAAGAAATATTTCCAAGTTAAAAATTACTATGCAAGATTAAACTTATGTAAAATTGCAGCTGATGAAGTGATAAAATGATAAAAGCCATATATTAATAGTAATTTACTTCAGCTTGCACAAAATCAATTGTTTCTGGTATTTCATCGTATTCGATAATCTTAGTTGCATCCACTTTTTCATTATTACACTGCAACAATGTAAGCGATATGTTTTGCTTTTTTTTCTTTTTTTTTTAAATTTCCTGGAACCGATCAAACTATTTAAAATTGAAATTGCTTTTGGAATATTACTAATAATTAAAAGGTCATGATACTTTTGCATATTATTAAATACTTGCATTATTAGTCAAGCAAAATATCATAAGTCACACAAAGTGGTTAGTAATTTTGAAGTGAAAAGGATATTTTTGGTTAAAGGATAATAGGAACTTGGATAGAATGCAATAGAAATAATCAAATTTCCATCTGAGAAGAAAATTTATACTTAAAAGACATAAATAGGTGAGCTACTTTTCCTTACGAAAGAAAATGAATTTGTCAAAAATTTTGCACCGAAATTTACAATTTAAACTAAATAAATCAAATATTTAAATTTAAAATTTAAGTAGATCCAACGTTCAGATCTTAAATTTGCTATGATATTTTCCCCGAGATCGTACACTTAGCTTAGAATATAGTATCATTTAGTAATAATTGTTAATTAACGTTCGTGTTGCATTTTAAAAAATGAAAAAGAATAATTCGAGAAAACATCCTAAGCAAAATATTTCAAGTTCTAATAGTTACAATATCAAGAAGTTGAACTTCTGAAAGTGTCGACGAGATCGTATCTTCGGCAGCAAAACATAGATCCCTGACAAATAAATGAATATTAGTTAATATCCATCAATCAAATGGTTTGATTTCACAAGTGCATCGAAAAGAACTAAATGAATATTAGTTAATATCATTTGAACATTATTTGTTTCATGAATACTAACCAATACTTATTAATCCTTTTCAATGTGACGCACTTGTTTTATGACACAAACACATACAAAAAAATTACCTGAATTATTTGTAAATTAAACAAAACAAAAAAGAAGACGATAAAAATAGGTGATGAGTAATATCATATTACAGAAATGTTTCCTTTCATTTTTCTAGAAACTAAAAATATTGCTTCATAAATGAGAAAATATTTGATTAAATCTAATTCTAATCCAGTTTAAATATTTGCTAAAACGAAACAGTGAATGTACTTTGAATGCAATTTGATAAAACAAATCCATACGTAGCGTTGAATAAAATAACTTAAACATATTCATTCAGCCTAATCTAACATCCATTCTAATCTAATTTTAGCTAACCCAAAAAAAAATTAATTGATTCCGTTTAAGAAATCTCTTAATAATTCCATTTTAAAATCATTATGAAAAATATTATGCATATCGAATTTCTTCGGTTCATTTTCTCTTGCCTTTATCATTATATGCAATATACAAAAGAAGATTGAAGTTGATAGAGGTAACTTTCACATCTTAATTCAATAATTAAAATTTTAAACTTACTTGCTAGCCATAATCTTAGTGTCACTTCATCTAGCTCAATATCCATTCTAATATCAAGTTTATACTATTAAGCTCACCAAATTACTTTGCTCTGTGGAAAAAGCCATATTTTAAATAGGAATTAACCAGTCACATTTTAAGGGGTTCCTCTGTTGGTGACGGTGATTTGACCGTAGCTTGAGGTGATGATACTGGATTTTCTTCATCAGTGAATGGAGGTGGTAGTTTGCCTTCCTATAAATTATTGAAATATGTTTGAATTACAATTTTTCTTATTTTCTTTGTATAAGCAACATTTTGAATCTCTTTCTTTTTTAATTAAAAAAAAAACAAACTGTTAAAATTCGAACTAACATTTTGTGCAATAGTTTCTTCGATAAGAGTATCTAAATCAATTTTGTCAATAACCGACACTTCTACACCACATTTCTTAACCACCGCACGTAATACTTCTCCTACTTTTAATCTTAAAATGAATTGGGATTATTTGATGATAATTATTACCATAAAATTTGTTATAATAGGTATAAGATACCGTACGTGTTTCATGCAACATACTATACTCATGAAAAAATAAAATAAAGATACGGTAAAAAGCGAAAAATTGATTGGTAATGTATTTTTGTTAATGAAAAATTTTCAGTTGCTATAAAATATGCACACCACTTATACCAAATATTCTTTTCATTAGGATTACTTTCTTTTTTTTTTGTTTTCTTATGCCTGTTTTATCAAGAAAAAAAAAAAAGATTATAAATAATGACTCTTTTATAAAACAAACGTTTTACCACCAAACCAAATTTTCGTTGCAGCAACATTTTTGATCCTTTCACCAAGATGCTGCAATTTCCGGACATACTTTGAACCATCGTCTAAATGAATCAAACACACAATTAGTAGTTTTAATAAAATTCCACTATGGCCAAATTTCATTACGGCTAGAAACGAAATTAATAATCAAAGAAAAATTAGCAAATATTGATGAAGACTAAGAGATTTTTTAAAATCTATTTAAATCCTACCTACTTTAAACTTATTTATTTGTTTAAAATAAAAGTTGATTTATTAACAGAATTAGTGCTTGGATAAGTCATTATAACGGCTGAATATAATAATACTTGATCTTATTACCCGTTATAAACATTAATTTTGATATGATATGATTATTTTACCTAAATGAGAGACTAACCGATTGCAGTAGTTGCCAGGGCAAGTCCAACACATATATATACAAATGTTATCGGTAAAAATGCAATTCTGAAAATAAATTTTAAAATTACCAGTGTAGAAGACACTGTAAAATGCTATAACTAACTAAAACATGCAAAGTGTAATCAATTAAAAACTAAGATAGACAATTTGGTAATAAAAAATTTAGCGTAAAAAAATGTATGGAGTATTTCCCAGGAGTGCTTTATCATCTTTTTCCCCTTATAGTCCGAAGTCATATGGTTACAATTCGCAATAAATAAAAATAAAAGTTATTTTTCTTCTCCAATTAAATAGTTCTAATCAACTCTATCATTTCATCTCATTTCCTGGTCTGTTTTCTTTGTTCTCTGAAAACATTTACATGAAAGAGAGAAAATCGATTGGGAACTTATACTTGCATAACTTATTTGCACATTTTTTATTTGCATAAGATTGCTCACCTATTAGGTATGAGTTGACCAAAGTCAATTGCTGTTAAGCAAAGAAAATTATAATATAAACCGTCGACAAAATCTATCTGAAGAAAAGAGAGAAGGAGAAATGAATACATTTGTTAAATGAATGATATCAATTCTTTTAAATTTCTTTTTAACAAGAAATTAAAACGTCCGGATAGATTATGGCTACATAATACATCATTATAGTGACAACTACCATACTAACAATTAGTCATCCACATAATTCGAAATAGTTATTTCTATAAAGTCACTGGGATGATAATTTATTTTCACATCAGGATTTTATTGTTAACATAATCAAAAGTCTAATAAACCAAACTTAACATACCTTGCCATTTAAAAGAGGTAACAGTAAAGCACCGAATATCATATAAACCAGAAAAGTTATAAGAAATATAACTGTCGCAAACCCAGATGACGTTTCTTCCGTTTCCTCTGTCTTTCGATCCTTATTCTTTTTCAAGTTTCCTTCTCTACCCCAATTTTTTGTTTGAAAAGTTACCAACTTAAATAGTTTACCGTTTACTTTTTCCTAGTAATTTAAGGAATTTGCTTGTTCTTCAAGTCTTTAATTCTGAAATAAATTAAAAAATATCATACTTTTTCTTTTCATATCAATATATTAAGTAAAAGGTAGCGGTCAGTTTGATAGTTCCTTTCATCGAAACATTGTTTCAATCATTCTTATCAGAATGCTGGGAACTTTTGAATATGATCTGTTGCTAATTTTATCCTTATATACAATATTTTTAAACTTTTATCTCTTATTTTTTCATAACACTTTATTAAACAAAAATTTATAGCGATTAAATCTTCTGCAAAACTGAGACTGAACTCATGATGTTGTCAATGGAAAAGATATCATCGGATTTCTTTGATAATGTGCAAGAAAAATAATTTGACATCTATTGAAATGTCATGAACAAAAAATTACTGTAAGGATTCTGTAGAATATCATGACTACTATTAATGTAAGGATTCTGACGTATCATATTATATATGGTCAAAATTTTCGACTTTTGCTGATAAAGAATTCGATACATATATATCCATGAGGTATATCAAGGTTCTTAAATTGATAAAAGAAAGAAAAAATCAGAAATGCAAATTGTAATTAGTATAAATAACCTTTTGTTTCCAATTTGCAGCAAAAGTATTCAAATGGCGACCGTAAACAGCAATTACAATCATTGTTACCGGTATACCCAGTATACCGTAAGCTATGGAAAACAATCGACCAGTTGTTGTTATTGGTACAAGGCGACTGTAACCTGTAAATAAAATTATTGAAATTTTTGAAGTCAACAATCTTTTTGATTTTCCATTGCTTCAGTTTTCCACTACTCCTCCCAACAGCACCGTTTTATAAATGAGCAAGATTTAAAACCGCCATATTTCCCAATTCCCGGGAATCCTCATAAATTAATCTCTTCAAATTTTAGTAGGAAGCATGCAAACCTTTTGAAAAATATGCAATTAGTTAAAGAATCATTCAGTTGTAAAATTTAAATTTCATGCCATTTGTATGCTCAGATGAATCGGATTCAAAATTTAAAACTTTAAAATTCAGATTTTTTTACTTTGCAATGTGTATTCACTTTCCATCCTTTTCCTCTAAGTTCCCTGCCTAATTTTCGTATTATCACCATGGATGAAAATGCCTGAACTATTTTACAAGAACTGAAATTAGTTTTAAATTTCAACTTTCACATTCACCGTTTTTACTCAGATAACTTCCCAAAAAGACTAAAATGAGGAAGTTAATAAAGGAAATGAAAATAAAGAAAGAGAAATTAGGAGAATTTGCATAAAAAATGAGTTCAAGCTAATTGAAATATCTTTCGAACAAATTCACGTCAAAAAAAAAATTTTGTTTTCTTTTTTAAAATGATATTTGAAAGTGATAGTAACAAATTTTGAAGCAATAAAACATGAAAGAAAACAAAAATTATTTAAAAGTGAAGTGAAGAATTTGATAGTTTCTAAGTTTATGTTTAATTTACCCAATCCTTCTTTTTTGATAAAAGAAATTTGGAAAGTAAATAGACAAATCGACAACCCAATGTTGTAATGATGCCAAATCCGTAGAGAGTTGAAGTAACATAGTTCCATTCCACTCTTTCATCAATACCAACTTTCCAGCAACGTTCAATGTTTTTCACCGTTTCATCCGAATAATTTTTCAATTTTCTTAAGATCTAAAAATGATAAATATAAAAGAAGAACTGTCTGTTCCTTCTGATCTATTCATACTTTGCATGAAATTTTCTTCAACAACGTAATCGATTTTGATAGGTTTAGAAATGAAGAAGAAACAAAGAAACTTGTCATAGCTTGGTAATTTTCCAAAATAAACATAAATAATTAGTAAATGAAACCAAATATCAGTTGCTGTTGACCCAATAACTTCTAATTATTTAAAATTATTTTCTATTTCCAACATAATAACAAAGATTAAAATTCATAATCCATTCAGCACTATCCTGACATACTTAAAATTCTTGAACAAACTAGCAAAGAAAAAGTTTATGGAAGAAGAAGGAATATAATAAACTTTTGTCGCAGTTTCCTTATTTGAAAAAATAAGAAAATAAACACTGTAAAATCTATAAAATTTATGTAAAATAATTCACTACTTAATATTTTTGCTAACATTTCGTCAGTTTTACTTCATAGCTATCGTTATGATATTTGCGCACATAATTATTATTGTATTTATGTTAATATTCTATTCCTAATTATGCATTATGTATAATTGCATAACAGTCATTGGGTTACCATTTAATGATTCCATAATCGACCTGATTCAATAAATAATCAAAAATATGATGCTTATAAATTCACCTCTGTAATACATAAATTTGTTTTTGTAATTTGTCCATTCCAATAGGATTTTGATGCATCACTTTCCAGTTCGTGAAAAATGAGACCACCGCCAAGCGTATATAATACTACAAATAGCAACAACCAACAGTGTACCGAATAGCGACGAAAATGCTACAAATATGACCATAAAGTGTCAAAGTGATAAAAGTCAGAAATTGTAGATGGGATGAAGATTATGAACAACCAATAATTTTTCTTAACTATTTTGAAATTCGAATTCTATGTTCGATAAGTTTATTTGGACAGGTTTGATATAGACTTCAAAAGTCTATATTAAACCTGCCTAAATAAACTTATCGAACATAGGGATTGGCCATTTTGGCTAGGATTAGCTGTGATTTGAGTTAAATCTTGTCATGTTCGACTTAAAAATATCGATAATAGCTTATGTGACACAAGTGGTGCTAGAACAACTTCCTATTAATGTGATTATAACCAGTAGTTCGATGACAATTATTAGTAAACTATTCTAAACTGATTTCTATTGCTTAATCATCTTGAAAAGTTATTTTATTTCTGTATATACCAATGGGATAAGTTGCAGAAATTTATTAAATCCAAACATTAAAGGACTGAATCGTATTATACAACCCAATCAAAATCTAAAATATTTATAAATAAGTCATGAACTTTTTAGAAAATCAAAAATATAAATAACATAGTTGCAAGCAGTAATGCTGAAGAGAAATGAGTTAATTTAATGAAAATAGTTTGTTTAATTAAACCTTTGGGATATTTATAAACGAACTGTAAAGGAAGATGATGATTATTGTTTAGAATAAAGAATCTAATAAATTCCTTCGAGTTATCTCACTTTTAGATGTTTATAGGAATAAAATAACTTTTCAAGATAGTGGAAGGATTTGATGATTTTTCATAAATTTTAGAAATGGTTTCAAGCCATTCTAATTTCAATTCATAATTCATTTTCTATATCAATATGATCTCTCTTTTATTCCTTTTCCTTCATCCCCTCTGCAACACTTCTCATGATGACATAATAATTAGTTATGTCCCATAATCCATCAGTTTTTCACTCTTTTTAATAACAATATCATATCAGTTAAAAATGTGTAAGAAGTACAGAAAATAATGTTAATTTACCTGAGAATTTTGAAAGTGATCGAAGAAGAGAAGTAAATGCTGTATCATACACATAATGATATGATAGAAATGACCTGAAAAGGGAAATACTTTTAGTTCAAAATTTCCACTACTAATATCATTTAATGATATATGAAGGAAACAAAAAGCTGAACAACGTCAATTTGTACAAAGAGAAAGAAAGAGGACGAGAGAACATCATTAATTATTGGATTCAGCATTTAATCAAAAATATCATGCAGCTGAAATCTGTGTAAAAAAAAAAAAAAAAAAACAAGAAAACTCTCGAAATAATGAAAAATTGAAAAAGATTAATTTGAAAACTGTACAGTGTAAATGATAATGTTTAAGATTATTATTATTACTATGTATTAAATAAAATTTTTAGTCCACCAAATTATAACGTTTTGATTATTAGTGTCTTTCAATTAATTTTGATCAATTCCATTGATTCATCCATTTTTCCAGTGAATTGCATTGCAAGTATATTTATCTCTTTCTCCTTGAATTAAATGAGGAGATTACAATCAACAAACATTAATAAAAGAAGTCATAACCAATCAATAATTATGGATATGACCAATAACCAACAATAAATCAATAAACAACGTTTAAAAAATAAACAAAAAAAAAGTGTAATAAATGAAATTCAATCAAGCAATTTATTCATCAATTATTGTGTAATTCATGTGCATAAAATAAATGAAAAGTTCCCTCAAATTTTAGAACAGTATAAAAATAGAAAAATAAGGGATTTCATAAAAGTATTCCAATTCCATCCCATCGACATCATTATCATTTATCTATAAATATTATAAAATAAAATTATGTTAAAACCAAATTATGCTATATTATCACCAATTTCAGGAATTCATCTTATTACTGCTTTTCCAATTTCCTCCATTTAATCATATTTCATCATTTCGGTAAGTATCGGGAAAAGCGAAATATAAAATATCGAGATATCGCGGGGCAACTGATTAGATTTATAACAATATAAATTTGTTGTATAAAGGTCATTTTAATTCGAATATTCCTCACACAGATGTTTCATTATCAAGAAATAATGACATAATAATATATGTCTCAATCATAGAGTGATGAATCATTCGTCCAATTTCCATCTCCTTAGTTCACACTCAAACTTATATGGAATTTCAATTTTGCAGCATCTTCTAACAAACTTAAGCATAGATTCAGTGTTCTGATTGTAACAAACAAAAACCTTACACGCTCCTACGGTAGAATTACTGTAAACAACAAAGTCTTTTACTGTAAGTCCTTCCAGTCTGTTAACAAAGGACACGCACATTGTCGGAATGTTTAAACTGCCCACACTATCTGAACAGGAGAATTAGACCAAAGCGTTGAGTGACCTATCCAACTTTTCCAACAGAATTGCGGTCCAACAGCATACTACCCAGCATACTATTCACTTAAAAATTTCCTACTAAATGACAACCTCAATTCAATTTTTATCAAATTGAATTGCAAAGACAAGAAGAACAACCAATGATCAATTATCAGCAATATTTTATGATAACTGTCATCTAAAAGAACAAATTCTCCATCAATTAACAGAGCGTTTAACATAACAATTCGTCCATGCCAACAACGTTCACAATTGATTTTGGTACCAACGAGCTGGAAAATATCTAATTGTCAAAAGTCAAAAATATACAAACGACAAAAGAAAAATTGGAAAAGCTCGATGAAATGGATCTAAAGCCATCAGATCAACAATTGCTAAAAAAAAAAAGATTACGTTAGCAATATGAGTCCAGAACAAGAATAATAGAGAACTTCTGACTACATCTTGGCATATTCAAAATAACCAATGAAAAATGATTGGAATATATTCAGAAAGTCACAATTCAGAATATAAAAAAAGCGAGAGAAATATGCTGAGATGGTTGACAACGATAAAAATATTAAAATTAATTAGTGATGATAGAGAAGCTATTAATTATAACATTTACAATATACAAGGATGAATTCAAGTTAACTTCATTGTAAATAGCCGACGGTATATTTACCCAAATTACCAATGGAGAGAATTCGGCAACCATCCATTATAAAGAAATCATTCTACAATGAGTTACATTCGGTCAAAGGAAATGATCAAAAATAGAAGGTAATCATGGAAACGATCGAGAATAGAAAGTAGTCGTAGAAGCGATCGAAAGAATACATGGATGGTTAGAAGTTGTGGATGAAAATCTAGAATATTCTAGGATCGAAACTATTATCAAATGTAAATTACCGATTGGATATTAGATAAAGTATATCAACAAAAGAAGAAAAAGAACTATGGTAGGTCATTAAGTTCTGACAAATCGTGAGAAAATTAGTCAAAAGAAGTGGAAATGTAACTGGAGGTCAAGCCTTTTATAGCAGAAAGGCGAAGAAATCAATTGATCTTATGCCAAACCCAGTCCCAGCACTACAGAAAAAAGAAACTTCTGCTTTAACTGTATTTAAGTAATTCATAACTCTAAGTTGACCATAAATTTAAAGTAAAACTTCCGATGTCAAACAACGAATGAAACATTTGAGAGAGAACAATGCTTATCATAATTATCTTCCACCAGGGCATACGATAAATGGCTACAATAGAAGGAATGAAGCATTTATGTTTCCATTGTAAGAATAAAATATCCTTATAATATTGCATATGCTAAGTATAAAATGCTAGACCAATTAAAGGAAAAATGAATTTAACAAACTATAACAAATTCAATAATTGTACAAAAGGATAGAGGAGATGAACTATGTAAGAAACTTGCTAAAGTTGAAAGAAAATTAACGAAAGCAGAAAATTTGAAGACCAGTTGGAGTGTTAGAAAGAAGAAGTGAACAAATCCAGAAAATGAAGGATGACTTAGATGATTGCACGATAAGAAGCAGAAAATGAAATACAAGAAGGAAAGAAAGACTTAAAAAGTATCCGGTACATTTGGAAAGTGCATTAGATCAGTGGAGGATTACTGTAAGATAAACATGTCAAAACACGGAATGAGATAAAATTTCAACAAAAAGAATATGATCCACTCAACAGCCTAAATATAAATCAAGGATCTGAACCTGAACCCTGGGAAATGAAATCCAACAGTATGAAATGACGATGAAGGAACGATCATGCAATTGATGATTTCAAAGCAGAACGATAACGATTGTAAAATATTAATGGTGATAAGGTAATTAAGGAACGAAAAAAATGAAGTCAATTAAAAGCTAAAATGGTAGCAACAGATTTGAGAGCACTTGGGAGATTGATATTTGTAATTCTTTTTAAAATTCTCATTCTTACCAAAATCAAAAACGTTTTCAAATTTGAAAAAAAAAATGAAAGGAAGAGAAAGAAAAAAGAATGCATAACGCAAAATTGTTTAGTTATGAGGAAGTATTTCGGAATAAAATGAAAGTTTTGCATAAAGTCTTTAGCCAAGAATACATTATCAAACATTCCAAAAATCTGCCTCATACTTGAAGTGAACTTTTCTGTCAAAATTTTTCTTAAAAAAGACATAAGCACTCAAGGCTGTTATATAAAATAAACATCTGTCATTACTTAGCTTGGCTCTAATAAATTAGGTCTAATTAGAGTACTTCTTAATTTAAAGAAGCAATATATTTTCATGTATTCCGATGATAAACTAATTGCTGGATGGGAATTTTATTTTGGATAAATCTGCGAGTATCTTCGGAAATTTATAAAATTTAATTCAAACAGTTTCCATATAAGAAGCGAGGGAAAAATGGAGATAACAGAAGAGGAGGCGAAAGTTTATTTTCTTTCACTTTATTATTCTTTCATATAAGAATCAAAGAGAACTGTGACAGCGTAAAAATTCATATCTTAATTGAAATCTGAAAAGTAAATTCTATCATTAGACATGAGTTGTTTATTTTCGGTTCTCTTTTTAAATGACCAAAAGATTTTTTAAACTGCAAAATTTGTAATAGAGCTAAAGTAGCTACGTTTGTAATAGTAATGGGAATAACGAGTTTTTCTCGTAACTTTACGACAGTTTTCTCGAGGAAAGATAACAATGATGACAAATGTATTCAACGACCCAATATTGATCGGATCTCAGAATTATCATACTCCGTTTTAAATCTTAAAAAAAGGAAATAAAATTATCTAAAGGATGTTATATTATATTTTCATCTATCAGATAAAAATTTCCAAAGAGAGGGGAGAAATTATTTATGCTAATTATGTTTTATAATTAAAAGGAAGTGAAATTACTGTAAAATAGAGTGAAAATGAAGAATTCCTCGTAGATATTTGCCTTTATCGTAAGTGATTGCGTCGTTGATAAGTGAACTTTGCTACGGTGACAGAACTTTTCCTTTTAATTATGTTCCCGCTTCTGTTGGCTAACCAATAATAATTAATGAAAACCGAGCGAAAGCAAGAACACAACTATTTTTTCAAAATTTTTCGGTTATCGGTGAATGACTCGGTGTGCTATAACATGCTAATTTCAGTAAACTGCTGCAATTATTTGTGAAAGCTTTGCAAAAAAAAAAGTCATATAATTCATTTAAATGACTTAATGTGCTTTCGATAGCTTACAGACAAAAGTTGGAAATGTGCAGTGATTTTACATTTATTCATTTCAAGTAAATGATACCTAATGAATATTAATACATTCAATTAATTAAAGGATTATCTTAAAAAGGTGCACTAATTATAAATTTAAGTTTCGTTTTATGACAAAGATTTTCAATTATATTACAATTACAATAACAAAATCAATAACAATAATATTATTATTTTGATCCAGTTATACAAATTTACATATTTAAGTCATTATACAAAAGGAATTGGAAGATTTTTGAAAATATTTCCGGTTAAATTTAATCGGTTTAATTGTTAGTTAAATTCATTGATTGATTAAACGTATCTGAGGAATGGTGATTTCGATGTTGAAAACTGAAGCAAATATTGGTCGGAAAGTTGACACTCAAGATAGGATGAATAATGCGTTGACAAGTAAGTAGGTGTTAGTTCCTTGTAAATGCATTTCGCGAAAAGTTCATTGGATTTTGCGGAACAAAATTCCCATTGGAACATCTTTCAAGTTTGACTTCCCTTCTGGTCATTTGATGTCTCAGAATTTGAAATAAGGGATCAATCTTTTGCCTTTGCAGAATGTTAGTTATAAAATGTCGAGAAGAAAATTTTACATTAAAAATTTTAGATAAGAACCCTTCTAAGTGTTAGTGTAGTTTTTTTCTCTTTTTTTTTTTTTTTTTTGATATTACAGGAAAATATTAGTTGCATAAGTCATGCATTGATATTGTGGTTGTATCAAAATTATTAATTACAGTAATAATAATGGTATTTGTTGAACGAGAACCAGAATATAAGATAAGCAATATTATAATAAATTAGAGAAATTTTAATCTGATAAATATTCTTTAAATTAAACTTAATCATAACATTCTTACAATTAAGTTAATTGGAATTAGCAAAAAGCTAAGCATTTAAAACTAATTGAAAGGGATGGATGGACCGATTGAAATGCATATTTCAGGTGGTGATACAACTGATGAGGATAATAACTGCTTAGAGAAACCTGAAGAAATACTACAGACAAATGGTGCAGCATCTCAGGTGCTACCGGGTCCGAAAGAATTGACGGAAAAGAAAGTTCAGATGTCTAACGGAAATAAAGACGGATTCACACGTGTAATACATTTCAGGGAATCTGTCCACCTCGATATTCCAAAGTGAGCTTTTAATATAACATTTAGGTTAACACTTGAACTGCACCTTATCTTATGTGTACTATCAGGGTCTTCAACCACTTTCACGTTTTTCAAGCTATCTGATATTGCTTTTTTTTTTTTAATTTCTTTTTCAAAGAAATTTAGAAAAGAATATCGTTTCCTTTTCTTTCCCTTTATAACTTATCAATGTATTGAATTAGGGAAATATAGTTAACTTATAGTATCAGCAATTAGAAATGCTCTAAATAATAAGGCTATGCTTGACATAGATGATTTTCAAAAAGTATATGGTACAACAAAATGTCACTTATAAAAGTCATGGGATTCTTACGTATCTTTATAAGTATAATATTTCTCGATTTTCTGATAGCATAATTAGCTTGAACTGGTTAGTGTGTGTTTTTTTTTCAAACTGTCGCGTAAGATATATGAGAGAAAGAAAATTCGGTTGACAGGAAATCGTTGTCGTAAAACTTGCAGATGCTTCAATTAATAGTAGATTAAGGTGATAAATAACCGCTTGGTAAAATGAGAATTAATTAATAAAAGTAAGGAAATAATATGATACAGAAATATACAAACATATGGATTCACACATGTTCGAATGATGGGGAAAAAAAAATAAAACAAAACAGAAAAGCGCAAATGTAATTGATTTAGTCCATGTTTTAGCATCTGTTTCAATTAATCTCATGCTTGCCAAAAAATTTGAATATTTCAATTCCAATGATTTATTTTTGCTTTTTATTTCTGGAAGAGAACGGAAAAGGAAGAGAAGTAGAAAGGAGAAGAAAAACGGAGAGGATAAGCTATAAACGGATGATTATGAAAGGAGAGTGTAGTTAGAGAAAAGTTGTTATTCATTCCAAATGAAATTGTAAACAATTTGACTAACAAAAAGTACGAAGAAATATTTGTGAATTATTTCAACGATCGGATCGAATTTTTGGTACAGACAAAAAGTTCTATAAATATTTTAATGAATTAAGGTAAAAATTGAGAAGTATCAGTGTTAATTGAATGATTTATAGAATGAATGAATGTTAAATGTGTGATTCAAATTTTAATGAATATATCAAAATTAATGTTTTAAATATACTTTTAATGATAAGTTTTAATGTTTGATAATAACATTAATTATTGATAGAATTATGATGTCGAAATCGTATGCTTTGTCCAGTTTTGATAATATTGAGAAATGTATTTATAACCTCCCAAATGATAAGTTAAGAAAAAGATTATTAAAGTAATAAAATAGTAAAAGAAAAGAAAGAAATTAAAAAAAGCATTATTGAAATGCAAATACAAAAAAGAATTGGTGAAATTAATTTTTTTTTGAAGTAGAAAAATGCCGTTTTTTGAAATATCTGAATGAATGTACTTACTTAAAAATGAATGTACTTACTTAATGAATGTACTGTACTTATTTAAATCAAGAGAATTTGTGTTTAAAATTGAAGTAATAGGCAAGTGAAGATCAAATTCAGTTTTTCGGAATGGGTAACAAAGTTCCAGAAAAAAAAGAAAAATACCATATGGAATGGATATTCATTCCTATTTAGTCAAAAATTTCGTATAAGATGATGCAAATTACGATTATTAATGGAAGCAAGTTTTCAGTTCACCAAAAACAGTCTCTGATTCATCTAACACCGAAAAAAGAGCATGTCGTATTTGTCAATCGGAAACCGGTGAACTTGTTCGGCCATGTGCTTGTACCGGAACAGTAAATTTTTAGCTCATTCAGTTTTCTTTTTCCCATATCTGTTGTGTACATTTAGTCCAATTAGATTCCATTTGGCTTAATAATTGTCGCATCAAATAATTTCCGGCGATCAATCCAACCAAAGATTAAAATTATCAGATTTGTTTTTTATAATAATTTGTGCTATTAATGATAGTTCATTATCATTTTCAAATTCACAGATG